CTTCCAACCTCATTCTGAAAAGAACGTCTCGGTCCGCCAGGCGCTGCGCATGTATTACAGCCTCCGAGGGGGCAGCCACGCGCGCTGCCTCTTAGGCCTAAGCGCCAAACCTGAACCTCAATGCTTTCAGGCTGCATGTCCCAAATGAGTTCACCTCTGAACGAAAGAGCGACTATGACCTAAAACCTCCCTCACAAGCATGCGAACCATAAAAGACCGCCAGCAGTTGGAAAGCTTGAAGCGCTTCAGTTTGGAACACGCTTTGCCTGACATGGCGCAGATAGGAAAAGATGGTGAGAGACCTCTGTTGTGCTCATCCCACATCCACTTGAGCCCATCCCTACAGATCGCCCGTTGGCGCAAATGTTGTAACAAAGAGATGCGGCATGAGAAAGAGTAGCGACAGCAAGGACAAGTAACCCCATCAGGATTGTACTCAGCAATTTGCAGCAGGGCATCCTCTGGGTTGGGATCAGTGTGACCTTTTTTTGTGGAATCTGAGCCATCTTTCGTCAAAGAACCTTGCTGAACAGGTGGAACAGAACACATCCCTGTCCAAAGTCTCCCAATTCTAGCCGAATTATGTACAAACCCCCGGCGCCTACATTTCTAACAACTCGGCTGAAATACTCAGGGGTCGTGGTCCTAGAAATAGACCTTCGGTACCACCTCCGAAAACAGTCTGACCCCTCTGCCCACCGAACGGTTGCGCGGGGTGGGGGCGGATAGGATGACGGAAGGGATCAGAGATCTCGAAGGCTTTGGCAGAGGACATGACAGGCCGATCCCATGTCACAGCATCCCACGGCACTGTCAACCGCAGAGTCATGAACCAGCCAAGCCAGGATGCCGGGCAGCTCCGGCTCGATGGCCGTAAAAGAGCCTCTGTTTTGCTGCTGTGCGGCATTGGCGCCCGCGGCCGCAAGAGATCCCCCGCCGGCCGTGCCTTTCCGTTTGGGCGGAGGGACGAACTTGGGCGCCTTGGCATTGTTGGCCTCTGCCATCTCCACCTCCTGCTCGTGGGCGGCTCTGGCAGCCTGCAGCTCACGGCGGTTGGCCCAAGCGTACATGAGTCCCGGAGTTACGTCGGTAAGCGCCGATTATCCCTCGAGACCCACGGATTTAACCCCGTGGGCACGTGCCCCCTCATGAGACTCCGTCCTGCGTACGGTGGCGGTGCCCTCGCCGTCCCATGTTGGTTTCGTCCTTCGTCAGCCCAGCTACCAAGGCTCAGCATGCAGAGCACTCCCCGGACGACGTTTGGTTTTACCCGGTCCTTTGGGAGAACCGCCGAGGGCCTGCGGTAAGGCTACTTGTAACCCACGGGGGCTGGCCAAACCCCCGGGTGCACGGGCGGCTGGGACCGCCCGATTTTCATGCATCTCAGCACCCTATGGCGGACAGGAAGGCCGCCAAAACGCGCTTCGCGTTGCCACCGTCACAACGTGAGAAGCTGAGGCTCCACTCTCTCTGGGAGATAACGCTCATTCCTGTTTCCTGGCAGAATGCCTTGTCGACACAACGCGAGATGTCCTCAACCCTGAACGCTTCGTGCTGCTTAACCAGCGCGTCATACTGGTCGTCGATGCTCTCGCTGATGAGGTTCTGGTTATGCTCGGCGTAGTAGTTCCACGCCTGGCTCTGCTGCAACTTCCTCGCGGCCGCTCCGCAACCCGCTCCAGCCTCGCTCTTGCGGTACCTGTACATCGCGGCGAGGTATAGGCAAACATCACCTCGCAGCACTGCGTGTTGTTCATAAGGGCCAATGACTTCACCATACCCGCGGTGTGCAGGTCATGGCTCACGTCAAATGACACTTGACTGCCCACGAAAGTCTTTTTCGGCTTGGGCAACCAGGCGCCTGCACCGCGCAGGTAAATGAACAGCTTGCTGCAGAATTCCATCCGCCCACTCGTCGGAACGAGCGCCTTCTCGAAGGGCACCTCACCGGCAGGGCCTTGTGGTTCAATTCGCAGCCCCAACTCCTTGTAGCAGGAGAAGAAGTCCTTGGCGAAAGTCGCCTTGTCGTACTTCTCTCCATGCTTGTAACCAAGAAGAGCCAGGAACATCTTGGAGAAAAATTGCTCCCCGTCATCGCCCTCGGCGATTATATCAAACCACTGCCCTTCGTCGGCAAAGAACTCGGCGATCATCTTCTTGATCGCGCCGTCCGGAATCTTGCGCTCGCGCGCGAGCAAGACCAACGCTGCAAGGAACGCGCACATGTTCGTGAGGTAGTTCAAAATCGATGTTCCTCTGTCGCCGGACTCCCGGATTTTCTCCTCGACCAGGAGACGTGCTTCACGCTGAATGAGCGCGGTGAAGTTCTCCTTGTCCCTCGAATCCAGGGCGTCCCTCGTGAACTGGCAGGCGTGGATCGGTGTCCCACCACGCTGTGGAGCAAGCTTTTCTCCACTTCGTTTCTTATATCGGCGCCGAGTGAGCCGTCAAAAGCCCCGAAGTCAAGGGAGGCAGTGAAGTCGTACTTCTCGCAATTTCCCCATGCGCTGGCAGAGGCCCTTCATATCGGTGTGCTTGATCGATCTCTTTTCAAAAAAGTGCGTGTTGAATATGAGATCTTCCATCACGCCAGCGTCGAACAAGTGGGTGATGACGGCCCGTGGGCCGCCCTCCAAAATGAGGCGCGGTTTCTCTTTTGCAAGCGCTCCATTCGGCTTTACGTGTCCGGACTTCTTCAAGGGCATGCACTGCCCCAAGCCAGCAGACGTTAGGGCGGCCCTGAAGGCCTCTGCGCTCCATTTGCTGGACTTGTAGAGGGCCTCCGTTCGATCCAAAGGACACTTAAATCATATTAGGGATCCTACTATTAATTTAAGGTATATTCCTTAGATAAGGGATATTGGAGTCTCTGGGCAGGAAGATCGCCATCCTCGGAGTTGAGCGCCAGTGCCAGAATGTACCGAACCCAAAAGTTCCATGTACCTTTATAGTAGATACTTAAGCCCTAAAGTACCTATATAGGGACCCCTTTAAGTGGGGACCCCTTTAAGGCTTAAGTAGATACTATCAAGGTACATGGAGCCTTTGGGGAATGGATGGGGCAGCACAAGCTGAGGACAAGAGCGCCCCCCCATGCGGATCTGGCATGCGAAAACGTTCAGGATTTTTCTTCCGTTCTGCAGGTATTGAATGACCTTCAAAATGCGGCGCTCAGGTTTCTAGGTGCGGAGGCTTGGAGGAGCGGGAAGGGGGAGGTTCGCCTCCTGATTCAGGCTTTGTCGCCTCCCTTTGTTTCAGCGGAAAAACAAGGAGAGGAGGGGTTCAAAGGTTCGGAGACTCCGACCTTTTGTTCCTTGACAGGGCTGGGGGAGGTTCTGAGGTTCCGAAGTTCGAGGGCGGGAAATTCTGAGGTTCCGACATGCTAGGAACACAGGGTCAAGCAATTCGTGCAGTTTTGGACCTTTTCTCACTGCGGGAGGTTCTGATGTTTCGAGGTTCCGAGAGTCCAGGGCGGGAAGCACCAAGGAACCCTAAACCCCAAACCCTAAACCCGGAAGCACCAAGGTTCCGAAGTCCGGAGATGCGGGAACGAGGTTCGGGTTCGGACGCAACTCGTCGGACCCCTTTTTTTGTCTGTGGAGGGGGAGGAGGGGGGGAGGTTCTCTCATGTTCCGAGGTTGGATGTATACTTATAGTATAGTGGGCCCCACAGCCCTATTAAGGCCCCTATATTATAGAACCCTTATAGTAACCCTGATCGTATCCCTTTTGAAGGAACCCTATTCTATTTAGCAAGGCCCCTATCTTACCCGTTATTTCTTGCGTCGGGCTCGACGTCGATGGGCCAAAAAATCCCAAAAACCAAGAAAATCTCGACAGCGCCCCAGGGCAAAGCTCGTAAACAAACTTGGACAACCCTAAACCCTAAACCCTGAATCCTAAACCCTAAATCCTAAATCCTAAACCCTAAACCCTAAACCCTGAATCCTAAACCCTGAAACCAAAACCCTAAACCGACAAGATACACAGAAACCCCTAAGCCCGAGCCCTAAAAACCCCAAAGCATCCTCCATCCACGCTGAAGGTTTAGAGTTTAGGGTTTTGGGTCACAATGCATGAGAAAAACTCAGCCCTTTACAACCCACACTTGCTGCAAGCACCCTCCAATGGAGAACCAGAGAACCACATAGCGAAAACTAGCACAAGCTGGAAGACCGAACCCGAAACCCTAAACCCCTAA